CTCATAAATGCTCAAAACTGTTCTTTACGTACAAAATACCGTTGCTGACCTCAACTTCGCCGGGCTGGGGATATTAATCTAGTCGTGAACCACGTCTAAGTGAGCCTCGAAACAACTACGCTGCGTTTGAGAATGACATAAAAATATCTCACCTCCCCCGTTGTCCAAGCACTTAGAACATATCCATTTTGTCTTCTTAGGACATAATTTGCACTTGTTCTGCATACGAGCGCCCCGTACGCGTCCTGTTCTGGTGCGTGGCAGTCGCTTAGTAGGTCTCAAATGAACGTCAGTTCCACTATGAGGCTGTCCCAATACGACACTTGCATCTGGACTGTCAGATCCAGACGAAGATCTGGATGCCCGCCGTCGTACACCTGTCTCATCCCACGAGTCGTTGATCAAGTCCGTGGCCAATTGACACCAGAAGCTGTGGGGTGACATCATCGGGCGACCTCGCCGTCAAAACTTATATAAATACCACGCATCAGTACAAACCATTCCTAACACAGTACTATTCGTACGGAAGCTCCATTCCTTCACTTCGATGCTCTTCTCGAAATCTAAACTGTCTTGCCGCACACGATTGTGCTGGTCGATAATGCCAGCAACGTCGAAGTACTCGAAGACAGGCCGAGGCATCTCAATATTGATTACGGTAGGACAAGCGCCATCTCCAAATTGGCACCATCGCGTGCGGGTGTGCGAAAAAGATTCCTGCATATTCCAGCATGTTGTGACGAATGTCCTTTGATTGCGGTCAAGCCACGAAATTGCCCCGATTTTTTTGCTCTGCCCATTGACCGTTACGTTCGTGATAAGAGATATAGAATCTCCCTTATCATACATTGGCAGGCGATTTAAGTAACCAATCGGAAAGCGAGAGGTGGCGGTTTTCACCACACCAGTAAACCGAAGATTCATCCCCAGCAGTGCTTCAGCGGCATCCACGGATGCAAAGTGGCTATCTGCACAAATGATTCGCTCTCTGCCGTTCCACGGTGCCGCCAGCTCCACCAATACATTTGTGCCGTTATTGTGTTCGTCCGAGGATGTTCGTGCTGTTTCGGCTGCTGTTTTCACGATTTTCAAACCAAGCAAGATACCCGAACTACTGCAAGCGATATTTTGAATCTCCATCCCAGTTTCTGGTTTCCGGTCAAGCACAACATAGTGTGGGGATCCAATTCTTATCCAGCTGCCGCTTAAACCGTACCAACGTGACATCGACTCATCAACGCATAGACGTTCTGATGGGAATACATTCGCCTGCCTGTGCGCATTAAATGCAACTATAAAATCATCACAAAGTTGCCATTGGTGCCGTTCTTTGGCATTCGGACCCACCGGTGCTGTTGCGTTCTGCTTGCTAAATCGAATACAGCTTCGTAAAAATTCGAATCTTGAGCGCACCATAGCCTTTACAAAATTGTATGACGGTAAATATTCACTCCCAAAGTCTCGCCGCCATAAAGCACGTCTATTACCGAACTGTACTCTCGTCATGAGAACTAACACTCCAAAGAATCGCAGAATTTCTCCAGTTGTAGTTGGTAAACTGCTGCGATTCAGCAAATCATCATTTTTGAGTTCGACAATACGCGCTAAATGGGTCACTGGCATCATAGCCGTGAAGCAGTCCATACCATTAAACATATGCGGTGCGGCGCCTTCTTGAATAAATGTGCCGTCTAGACACTGTATCTTACAGGCCAATCCTGTGACGGGTCCAATGAGCGTGCTACTATTTGATGAGAGCTCCCAGACCTGGTTGTGAGCAATTAGGTTATCTTCTGGTATATTTCGGGGCTGTGGGAGTGTCACTGTGGCACGTATGTCACACGAGGGACCTTCTGTCCCACTACGCATGTGGGCTTGTCGGGTAATGATATCATTTCCATGACTTGTTCCAATGTTGGAAAGTGGATTGCGTTCTGTAGGCAACGTTAAAATTGCATCAGATGAGGGGGTCGGCTTTTTCTCTTCAAAGAAACAGTTAACCACATATAGGGGATCGTCCTCGGGACAGGCTGGCTGTCTGGACAGATCTTGTAGAGTTCCTAATTTTACAGAACTCAGAGGAAGTGTTGCAATCTTTGCTTCTGTACTGACAACAAATGTGCACCTGAGATAGCGGTAAGTTCGGTTCTTAATAAATTTTGAGTGGACATCCAAAACCCTACCATCCAAATGGGTGTCAGTGTACTGTGTACCAAAGACGTTCTTTGCCGTCCTTTTGCCCAGAACTCGGGATGCCAGGGCATGGATTAATGTACTCCGAGAGAGGCGCAGATCGGTAGTCATAGTTAGGGTGTTAGTTTAAGGCCGACGACGGATGCAAACTCGCGAGTAACTTCATCATCGAATAGCGTGTGCCAAAACTTTTTAGTGGCGTTTATAGAGGACACGAATGGGCAACTTTTGGTGGGAAATGGGCTCTTGGGGCGTTGCGGTTTGTTAATTTGCACGCATGGAACCAACGAAGGAAATGGATATGATAAATCAGGCTTGCGATTCTCGAAATGGGAATCTGAAATTCAGGGTTGATATCGCACACATGGCATATGCGCCAAATACAGTATCGTGCCAGCGGCCATCGTTTTTGCTTTATCGAGAGGCACCTAGCTGGAGCATTAGGAATGAAGTAGCTCTGCATTAGCGATATAAGTAGATACGTTTGCGGATAGATATCAAAAGAAAACAACGAACAAAAAGAACAGAACAACACAGTGCTTTAATTGCGCAACCAAATCCTAGTGCAACTAGTCCGGCATAGTCGAAGGCTCGAGAGGGCGTCAAGCATTGACAACCGAGCAGTGAGGAGACTGTTGAACCACGCGGCGACATACTTCCCGTTTGAATCTTAGAACCTCGCGCACGGAATCAGCCCATCCAACTCGACACCCCTGTCTCCGGGCAACGGTGACTTGTTGCATCCGCTGCCCTTCGGTAGTCTACCTTCCTGCTGTACGCGGCCCGTTTGTGGACCAACCGGAGAGACCAACTCCTCCCGACAGTTCCTGTCGTACGCGGCACGCGCTCTCGGAAGGGTCGGCTTTTCAAGATCTGACTCGACATTGAAGTCAGACATATATTTACTTCGGTAAATATTCTACCAACGCAGAGAACAAATTGTTACGGTTTTGATAGTTATAACTGTCCCTTGAAGCTGCAGCAACAAAACGGACAAGTATAGCTCTGCAAAACAAATCGACATGTGCGAGTCTCCTGTTGAAGAAGACGCTACAGTAGCTAACCCAAATTTGGAGTACATCCCTGTTCAAGGACAAGACCTTGGCGATCCAGCACCACCACCAGAAGGCGCTGACCAAGAGTTTGTCAAGGCTTATGAGGAAGACGTACGAAATTACAGTACGGAAATGTGGGAATGTTTAATGGCAAACAAAGCACTTCGCCAAGAAGAGCTTTGGATAGACTTCACGTGTACATTTCGGAAAGCCTCGATCAAGGCCATGTCGTCAACACAGCAAGTTAAATGGGTGGACTTCTTACGCTCAAGAGGAGTGAAAGTTCGGAAACAACGCGGTCTTTCGAGAGCAAATGCACTCACGGAGTGCTTGACAGCGGACACGTTTCCCCGTCTAGAACCTGAAATTTCGTGCACGCCAGTAAGGAATGTTGACCGTAGAGATGTGACAGAGGTTCATGAAAATGATCCTGACGAACAAAGCCGCAAGGGAAGTGCCATGAGAGACTTGAGACAACGTCGACAGTCGTATTCTACAAAAGAATTCGGCAGCGAAAAGGCACACGACATTGCTGGTATTATCACTGGCAATGAAGATGACCGCGGAGCTGAGGAGCAGTATAGATTTTGGCGTATGGGGGTTTTAGATTCGAAACCATCTACCCATTCCCCTACTGCATCCAAAGTGATACAAGATCAGAAACGCCATGATGGGACTGCGATAAGACTTCACAGTTCAGGGATGGGTTCTGGTGCCATTATGTCGCTCATGAAAGCCAATGGCGGAAGAAAACTGTACGGAGGTCAATCAGAAGAGGATCTAGACGGTTCTCTGGAAGTCTTTGAAACACTGGCCGCCACCTGCTGCCTCACCGATGACGAAAAAGCAAGAGCCATTCCAGTAATGCTACGAGATGATGCACTGTCGTACTATTCTACTACGTTCAGAAACAGTGAGGCTTCATACGGAGAGATTGTAAACTCACTGCGCAAATGGTTTACAAGTAAGGAACAACGTAACAGACTCTTGCGTATATGGCAAAAGGCTTCACTTTCGGAGGCAATGCGACGGCAGCCGATGAAGAGTGAAGTGGAAGTATTCGGTGAGCTTTCTCACCGACTATCGCGAATACAGAACCAGTTGGATGTTCAGTACCACCGCGACAGCTTCCTACGAGACCAACTTGTCATGGCTGCGGATATTCCGCATCTCGAACGATCTTTGAGAGAAAGAGTACCGAAGACAGCGCACGAGGCAATGCACCGCATTGCCGCTTCCCTTTCAAATGAGCCAAGATCAGCAGGCGCAAATTGGACAGCAGTGGATAGTCACAACGATGATACGCAAGCGCACTATGGCTTGGGAAAATCATTCGGTGGGCAAGCCCGAAAGCAATTGGGTGGCACTGTACGGCGTGGATACCATAAGAACAGACGTAGGCTGGCCAATGTCAAGGGTTGCTGGGTATGTGGCGGAGATCACATGGCAAGAGAGAAACATGCTCCCAAGGAAATCGTTGCAGCAATTGATAAGCTGAAGAACAACTCTTCGAACAAGACATACACCGTTGATGATCTTGCAGAAGTCGCAAATGCCCTATGGACAGCCGGAGATACAGATGAGGACCAAGACTTCATTTATGATGAAGAAGATGAGGCAAACATCTTGGAATTTCAAGATGAGATGAGGGATGAGTACAGTCTAAACAAATCCCTTGAGGAAGACATGGCAAATGCTTCTTTTCTGCACGGCAGGTCTTTTATCGCAGATTTGGAGCGAGATATGGCTTTCATGCATGCGCAACTGTCTCTAGGTGAACAGGACACGTTTAGAGGACTTATTCTGGACACTGGCGCCAATCGCTCTTCATGTATGTCTCTCTCACAGTATAAAGCATACTGTAGAGAGAACAACGTTCCTTTGTCTATTGACAGAACAGAGGGGAGAACTGTGTCAGGATTTGGAGGTTCAAAAAGGGGTTCGTTAGGGTCTGCTATTATCCCTGTACCATTTGTTGATCTCAACGTCGTTCTTCATGTCAAGTTTCAGATATTTTCTCACAACTCTCCTTCATTACTGTGTCTTAGGGACATGAGAGAAGGGGGATTAGACATCAGCGTACAAAAACTGTCTATTTCTTACAAGCATAGAAACCAATCAGTTTCCCTGGAGAACGACTTCATGGTACACAATTGGAAGTCGGAAGATGTCGTGAACTCCCTTTATTCCGAAAAAGAGCTCCGAAAGCTCCATAGGAATTTTGGGCATCCCTCCGTGTCTGCACTCACAAATCTCCTCAAAAGAGCAAACCCAGATCACATGGACAGAGAAGTCCAAGACGTCATCATGCGACTGACAAAAGCTTGCACAACATGTGCAACACATGCTTCACGACCGCGACGGTTCAAACTCACTGTTGGAACGAATGACTTGAAGTTCAATCATACTCTTGCAGTAGACATTATGACACTCAATGGAAAACCGTTGCTTCATGTTGTTGACGAAGCTACGCACTACACTTCGGCAGTTTTCTTAAACAGACAAAGGGCATCTGACACCTGGAAAGGATTGCTGCGATGTTGGAGCAGAGTTTACTTGGGACCGCCAGATTTTTTGCGTATGGATCAAGGTACCAACTTCATAGCAAAAGAATTCGTGGAATCGGCGACTGCAGAGGGAATTACTGTACTTCCAGCCCCCATTGAGTCCCCTTCCACTATGTCTCATGTTGAGCGCTACCACGCCCCACTAAGAGCTGCATTGAAGAAGATCCGTGATTCTCTGCCGACAAGTGAGTCCGACAGCGACTGCTTGCAAATGGCTTTGAAAGCTGTAAATGATACGATAGGGCCTGAAGGACTCTGTCCTACTCTGCTTGTTTATGGAGCCCTCCCTCGACACCCTCTGTCAGCGCCGAATACATCACAGTTAGAACGTGCAAAGTCGATGGATGATGCCATGGACAGTGTTCGAAAGGTACAGGCACAGAGGAGAGTTGCTTTCGGATTGAGACACCCTGGGGGACCCAAGGCCAAGGAGAATAGCGAGGAACTTTCCCGACTGCCCGCAGGTTCTCCTGTATACGTTTACAGGAACACGACCGAGAAATGGGACGGACCATATCCATTTATTCATATAGATGGAGAGACAGTTGTTGTGCAACTTCCGAGAGGGCGCAAGATATTCCGATCGAATGTGGTTAAGCCTCAAACTCGCCATCATTCCCGAAAGAAAACCTCCAAGGGAGCACAACTCAATCACCCGTCGAACTTAGCAATGAACCAGGAGCAATTGAGGAGGACGAGAACTTCTTATGTTCAGATATCTCTCTACAAGCAATGTTTGGTCCTGGAAGTTACCTGTACTGTACTCCCGACGAACCTCGAGATTTTTCAAAGTCCAGAATGACTGAGCTACAGGGATTGGAGGAACGACAAACATTCGAAGTGGTGAAGCTTTCGTCTGTGCCAAAGGGAACAAGAATCTACGGATCAAGATGGGTGGATACACTCAAGACCTTGGAAGATGGAAGCATTGCAGAAAAGTCACGGCTAGTCGCGCAGAACTATAAGGACAAGGGGGCTAGCTCTATTGCCACAAAGTCACCAACAATAAGTCGCATGGGACAGAGAGTTGCGATGGCCACGGCGGCTATATTCAGAGAGCACCAATCTTACATTCGAGATATTTCTCAGGCTTACTTGCAATCAGAGTCACCTCTGGAACGACAAATATTTCTTCGTCCACCAAAAGAAATGAATCTCGGTGCGGACGTCGTGCTTTGTGTTCTTAAGCCACTTTATGGAGTCCCAGAGAGCAGATTGCACTGGTTTGTGACATACTGGACGCATCACAGAGAACGGCTTTCTATGAAAAGCACCACGGGTGACCCTTGCCTTCTATATCGCTCAGGAGACATGCATGCTGAGGGTGTAACTGCTCTACAGGTCGACGACTCGTTTGGACATGGGACAGTTGAATTTTTGAAGGACGAAGAACGCGAATCTAAGCGTATTAAATGCAAGCCGCGAAAGATTCTAAAGATTGGGGAGACGACATCATTTAATGGTTGTCAAATCACTGTTGAAAGAAACCGAGTTCATTTGCTGCGACAGATGGACAAACTTGGAAAGATATCCAAGCCTAGAAACCAGGACGAGCTTGTGAGCGTGCGTGCATTACTACAGTGTATCGGATGCTGTACTAGACCTGACCTTTGTGCACCTGTACAACTCTTAGCAAGTGAAGTGAACAATCCGGAGGCCAGCACATATTCGAAAATGGGAAGCATTGTGGAACGTTGCCACAACACCAACGACATGGGCCTAACATTCATACCGTTAGAAAGAAGTTCGCTTCGTTTAGCATTGTTCACGGACACCTCTTTCGCTAACGCCGTAGATACAAATCGCAAATTGGCTGTGTCGTTCTCCTAGTCGACTCCAACAACAATGCAAATATCATACACTACGGTAGCTCCAGATGCAAACGTGTGACCAGATCAGTAATGGCTGCGGAACTTCATGCCCTTGTGTATGGTTTTGACCAGGCCTTTGCGGTGATAGCAGTATTGGAGGAACTGCTAGGGCAATCAATACAGATTGATGGATACATTGACTCCAGAACCGTATTTAACGTGGTAGCCAAGAGCGGCGCAACATTGAAGAAACGCCTACAGATCGATGCGCACGCACTAAGAGAAAGCCATGAGAAAGGAGAGTTGAGATATCTGGCATGGATACCAGGTAAGGAAAACATCACTGACGGACTCACAAAGGAGCTGGCAAATGAAAACCATGCTCTGCTACAGGTCATGCGCACCAACAAGCTTCACTTGAATCCCTACGGATGGGTGGACAACGCGAAAAGAAAACCTACAGAGATACAATGCGCGACAACAAAACAGAAAACCTCTGAGTGTTAATCTGCACGCATGGAACCAACGAAGGAAATGGATATGATAAATCAGGCTTGCGATTCTCGAAATGGGAATCTGAAATTCAGGGTTGATATCGCACACATGGCATATGCGCCAAATACAGTATCGTGCCAGCGGCCATCGTTTTTGCTTTATCGAGAGGCACCTAGCTGGAGCATTAGGAATGAAGTAGCTCTGCATTAGCGATATAAGTAGATACGTTTGCGGATAGATATCAAAAGAAAACAACGAACAAAAAGAACAGAACAACACAGTGCTTTAATTGCGCAACCAAATCCTAGTGCAACTAGTCCGGCATAGTCGAAGGCTCGAGAGGGCGTCAAGCATTGACAACCGAGCAGTGAGGAGACTGTTGAACCACGCGGCGACATACTTCCCGTTTGAATCTTAGAACCTCGCGCACGGAATCAGCCCATCCAACTCGACACCCCTGTCTCCGGGCAACGGTGACTTGTTGCATCCGCTGCCCTTCGGTAGTCTACCTTCCTGCTGTACGCGGCCCGTTTGTGGACCAACCGGAGAGACCAACTCCTCCCGACAGTTCCTGTCGTACGCGGCACGCGCTCTCGGAAGGGTCGGCTTTTCAAGATCTGACTCGACATTGAAGTCAGACATATATTTACTTCGGTAAATATTCTACCAACGCAGAGAACAAATTGTTACGGTTTTGACACGGTTCCTATGCGCTATCCCGCCAAAACACTGCCTCATGTGAGGATTTGATCCTCATATGAGGCAGGATGTCAAATAGACACTAGGAGCTCATGTAGAATGGTCAACTTGGAATTGGACTGGGCACAGTGATAGAGGTGCTCGAAGTGCGAATGAATTCAATCTAGATCCAATGTAGCATATATTAAAATTCAATTTAATCATTTTATTGATATACCCGAATGCCAGTATACGGGGGTCGCGATATAGTGCCTGTCTGTGTCAGTGGGCCGAAAACGGCACTATATCGAACCAGGCACTGTAAGATAATGAGATTTGCGGCTTTTTTGCAGCCACTTTCTTGCATCACTGCTCAGAAAGACCGTTCGCAGGACGCCATCACTCATACTTTGCATCTTCACTACAGACTCAACTCTAATCAAGCATTTATGTCATTAGTAGCTTCCGAGCCGTGGCATTGGCTTCCTCCATTTTCGCAGCGATAAATGCCAGCCTAAACTTTTGCAGATGTCCAATTGCATCATCGACCCTGCCCTTTTCCGCCATAGTTTCTATTCTAGTAAGCAACTGCGTAATATCTTTCCGCGGCGGCAGCGGCTCTCGGGCAGTACGTCCATCCAACTGCCTCTCTGGAGACCCTTAGTTTTTGGCTCAAAATTCGTGCCACCCGCAAAAGGGTATCACTATATCGGAGCTGGCACTAACAAAGATGGCACTATATCGCCTCCCCCCTGTACACCTGAAAAAAGGCGGGAGGCTGGCAATCGAAGGAGATGCGATTCGTCTCCCAACAGAACCAAACCAAGACCCAAAAACACATCCTTTGTACCCTCTTCCCTATCGATAGCTCGGTATGATGCACCCCTTGAGCCAATTTACGAATCACGGCGCGCTGACACAATACATTACAGTGAACCCTCCCGATAAGGATCATTCTCCATATGGATATCCTCCGTAAACGGATAAAAAGTCGAGCGACGGACCCCGTAGCTTACAAATTTCTACCAAAAAACAATGTCTGTGGAATATTCCTCAATTGGATATCGGGTTCAATGTGAAATAAGCATATCATACAGACCCCTCCTACTTAAAACGTATTTTATGGTTACTTTTGAGCGGCCAAAGCACAAATTACCCCATAACCGTTCATTCTTGATCAATCCGTTCACAATCTGTTCAATAAATTCCAATCCCCGTCTGAGGCTTCGCAATTATCATCATTCTCGACAAAAACATCTTTCTAGCATATACTCCTGTTGGTCGTCCCCATTGGGGGAGGATCTCCTCTGATCGCAAACATTGCGTGTTGTCAGCACCGTAGCCATCTGCCCCCGTCAAGCGACAATCGTCGATGAAGCGCTCTGAGCTTAACCTCGCCCAAAAGCAACAAATATGTGCAGAGTTCCAACGGCGCAAAAAGAGCAAGGAGCAGACGTCACAAAGCGCCCTTGCGAGGTGGGCCTCAGTACAGTTTTCCCTTTCTAAACCTCCTGCTCAAGCTGTCATGTCCCGCATCATCAACGGAAAGTATGGTTTTCGTCCCGATATCTCTACAAAAAAGTTCAAGCGCTCCGCGTCAGTTACCAGCCCATATCTCGAACGCGCAGTCGCAACTTGGGTCTGTGCCCAATTTGCAAATAGGGTAAACATCACAGGTCATCTTATAACTACGCAAGCAGAGCGCATTCAATACATTTAGATACATTTTTTAAGTAAAGCACAGACATTCTGAGAGATGCACCGTGACACCGTTATGATATGGTCTCCGGATGTGAATATCCTCCGCAAATGGATACGGATTACGTCCACCGAGCGTATCCATATCGAGAGGGTTCACTGTACATTATTGGACATGTAATGTTTTGAAAATTGCGAACATATACAGGGGGGGTAGCTCTATATCGCACTTTTGAATAGCGCATTACCGGATATATCGCACTGTTTCGGGCTTGACACGAAATCAGCCACGTGTATGACATTACACACGTGTCGCTCTAGAAGCCCCTAGTAGAGGCCGTACTGTACATGCGACCCGCACAGTACCCTTGGGTATCTACCTCCAACTTTGGCTTATCCCTGTGCTCCCGTTTGTGACGATTATAGGCGTCTCAAAAAGTGAGACGATTTGTGAGATTTTTTGTGAGAGTTGTACTACCGAGCCCGCCGCCGTCTACAACATCACAAACCGTTTGTGAACATTTGTTGACGTTTAGCACTTTTTCAGATGGTTTTGAGACGATCTCATTGCCTCATCTCAAACGTCTCATAAAATGTAGCACTTTTTGAGATCATTGCGTGACGTCTCACAGGTGCATCTCAAACATCACACTAACTATAGCACTTTTTGAGATGAATTTGTGTGAACATTCAAGAAGTTCGCAAACGTCAACCCTAAACTGCACAGTTCACAAAACTAGTGTGCCGTTTGAGACGGTTGTGTGTGAGCGCACCACCACGATCAGACACCTCACACAGTCAAGTGCCTTTCGTCTCACAAAGTGCTCTTCGTCAACAAACTCAACCAAAATTTCCCCCAATCTCACTGTGTCTCGCGGGATTCTGCCCTTTGTGATATCTGCCTGTTCCATCCAACCAATCACCGAATACCCGCACTGTCCACATTCTCTGAGACTTCTGGCCACCTCTCGCTATGGGCGACAGAGCACGGTCCCCGGTGGAAAAAATATCCAACCATCGCATCTCCGCAGACGACAGTCTTGATGCAACCGCTCTTCGCGGGCCTCAGCAGGCCAGTGCGCTACAAGCCTCGCCAGAGAGGCTAAAAATATTACCAGAGAGGATTCAACCCATCCGTAGGGATCTGTATCCCGAACGACAGCCTTCAGAGCTATACGAGAACATTTCACCGCCTCTGACACAGACAGAGCAGCGTCATACCTCACTTCCAGCTACATGGACCGCCCTGCAGTCCTCGCCGGTTTTTTTTGAGGACGAAGAGTTTTCACCAGCCCCCCGTACCGACACTGCACAGCCCGGACGACAAGTATCCCCACATACCCCCTCTCTGACTTTGCAGCGTTCAAACGGGCACCAGGTAGTTAATGGTGGGGCCTTATTCGAGCTTACAGACTCACTGGACGCCAGTGACGTTCCATATTCCCAAGAACGTCCTGTGTCTAGCAGCTGCAACTCCTCCGCAGACGAAGTGCCTCTCTCTGACATTGAACTCCAGACGGAAATTAACGAAGCCGAAGTACGTGCATTGCAGCCAACCACCTATCTGGCAGACGTAATGGAGCAAACAGACTCTGGTGCCACTCTATGTGAGGACCTCTTCACTAGGATATATTACGATTTTGATGAGGAGAGGTACTCAAGAGAGCATTGGGCGGATGTCGACGCTGAGGCCATGAATTTATGCGTCCCGGTCCTAGCAGAGGAATTGGAGGAGCGTGCTCAAGCGCAAAGAAGTGGCGGTCTCGATGGCTGGCACTATGATAGCCCTTTCGACGAAGTATTCGTGAAAATCGACAACGTGAATCGGAGTCTGGAGGGTCGATTTGTAGAAGAAGCCAACACTGCACTCGACCGGGTTGGTGCAGACATTTCCAGTAGAAAGGATGACCAGGATGGTAGAGATGACGCCGCTACTTTATTAACGCCATTGTCCTGTATGCAGACGTTTGTTACTGAGTGTCTGCTGGAAAAACTTCGGTATGTAGCAAACGGAGTCTTGCACGAGAGAAAAAAAGCGCCAACAACAAAGAAAGAGATACTTGGCATGCTTATTCTACATATTCCTTGTGCTTCGTACAACGAGTCGCCGACTACGGTTTGTGACCCCCTCGAAAGCGGCCACTTCTT